AATCATTCACCCAGTGACTGAAATAAAAGAAGCGAGAGGAAATGGGATGGTTTTAGGGTTCATCTTAAAAAAAAAAAACAGAATAGTGTCTTTTCTCATTCATATTCATGTTTATATTAATGCAAATAACTAGCTTTTATGATATAGTGCTGTTCTTGAGAAGTAAAATTATACTCAAATATATAGCTCATCTCTATAAAACATGTGATTTTATAATCATAGAAACTGACATATTTAGTCACTCCTAGAAAGCACTCCCTGAGTCCATGTTGAACCATTCGTTGAACTACCTTATCATTTCAAAAGTGAAGTGCCCTTTGATGTCAGCTTTGGGTATTCAAGACATGCTGATTGATAATGATTATGGCTAAGTTTCCAGTTTCACTGCTCTTTAGCTTTAGTCTCTTGAGCTCGCCCCTAGGATAATCAATTGCACAATACCAAGGGCAAAATAAGTTGCACAACTCTAGGAAGAAAATACAGTAAAACCTTGGATTGCAAGTCACTTGGTTTGCGAGTGTTCCACAAGAGGAGCAAATATTTCTAATACATTTTAACGTGGTAAACGAGCGATGTCTTGCAATATGAGTAGTTTGTTTCTGGAACGAATTATGCTCACAAACCAAGGTTATTACTGTATTTAGATTCAACCCAAGCCAGTGTGGAATGCCCTGGGACATGTGCCTCGGGTGCTGTAGCCTTGAGCTTTACACATGCCCCTGTCGTGGTGCTTAGCGCAGCATTGTGGTACAGTTGCTTTGTCTCTCCCCTGTTTACTACACCCTCCTAATGGATACTATTGGAAACTGTGACTATTCTGTTACGATGTTCTTAGGTTACGGGACTTAGAAGGCATTGGCAAATCGCTGAAGTACTACAGAGATACCTATCACCCTTTAGATGATTGGATCCAACAAGTTGAAATGACTCAGAGAAAGATTCAGGAAAATCAGCCTGAAAATAGTAAAACCCTAGCCACACAGTTGAATCAACAGAAGGTATGTAAACACAAATCCTTGTTCTAAGGTTGTGCCTGCGTTTGGTCAGTAATGGCTCCTATCTTCCTTTTCCTTGTTGAAAGAAAAAGCCAGCAGCTATTTGGAGGAAGGTAGGAAGTAAATCATAAATATTAAAATCCTGCAATCCAAACCTGTATATATCACTTACTTTGATTTCTGAAAAGTCATGTTTGAAAGCATAAGGAAGAAGAAAGTAATGTGTTGGGGCAGTTTTCAAATACCTAATGATTATCTAATCATAGGTATGGAAATGTCTTTGGTACTCTGCTGGTTACAATAGTTTTGTGGGATCCTAAATAAAAAAATGGTTACTGGTAGAAAATTAAATAACCACGTTTGAAAGTTCAGTGCTTTGAGATTTTTTTTTNCCTATTTTGAAGTATGTGAAGGGAATCACAGCCTCAGTAGACAGCATTGTGATTCTGACTGACTTACAGAAAGTCTTCATAATTTATTAAGATACTTGTATGTAATGTGCAGAGGAAATAAACTGAAGTGTTTTGTTTGTAGGACATAAGGGGTAGACAAGTATGCTCTATAGGATACATTGAAGCATTCTATTACAGAGGAAATCCTTCAAAAACCCTTTAAAAAGTCAGAAAATCTTTATTTTAGAAATGTGTCTCTTATTAAGGAAATATTATCATTAGAGAGCGATCTTTATTCCTAGTCTTCAGAAGTTTTAAATTATTCTTGAAATTTTACTCCTACTTAAGAGTTGTTTGGAATGTAACAAACATTAGACACTTAGTAGTCATTCATAATTATCCAAGTTCAAGGGCTGTTGTTTGGTTAAAGGAATGATGTGGCTATTAAATTGTGCTGTGTTGATTTTATTCTGTTCTTACTTATGAGGGGTTCACACAGGGCCCTGGTGATTGAACTTCATAACTGTGCTTTACTGTCATTGATATTTTCACTACCAGTTTTTGTCTTACCCTAGTTTTTCAATGATGCCAAAGAAGCTACTGATTACTTAAGGAACCTGAAAGATGCCATTCAGCGGAAGTACAGCTGTGACAGATCAAGCAGCATCCACAAGCTGGAAGACCTTGTTCAGGAATCAATGGTACTAATATAAAAACCTATGAATTTCCTTAGTAATGTAAAATGGAGATTGTTAGTTTTTATTATATTTTTATAGGTGCATAACTTTATATTTTATTGGTACTATTGATCATTTCACCTCATTCAATCAAGCATTTAAACATTCAGTTTTGGTATTTTTTTGGTAACAAATACACACACAAAATATTTTTTTATGTGATAGCCTTGATATCTTAAAATACTTTAACAATGTGTGTGTCTGTGTGTTTGTGTGTGTGCGTTTAGTCATTCATCCCACAACTACTTGTTAAGTACTTTCTATATCCTAGGCACGATTTTAGGTGCTGG